TTTCACATATAATGATTTGATCTTTGTCGAAAGCGTGACCAAGATTCTGGCTTGCCACGCTACTTTTAAAAAAATATTTTAATGGAATTTCGGACATTTAATTCTCATTGAATTTGTTTTTTTCATTTATCGTCTTTAACTCTGCAAGACTTCGCAGGTGTGAGTTTTAATCCACTACTTTCAACATCTTAAACAACACGCCATTTTATTTATTTATTTAAAGAAAAGCACGCTACAGAGATAACTGCATTTACAGAGTACAAGGAACAACAAACACGCATACAAAAAAAAAAAAAATTGAATACAGAGAACATAAAAGTTCACAACACAAAAACAAAAAAATTTTGCAAACACATGAATAGTTTAGAACGAAAACACGCAATCATTAAAGAATCAAAAGCCACACTAGGATTTTAAAATTCGTGTACTGTGATATTAATATCATAAAAAAGTTTTAAAAACATTGAATATTTAAAACATTAAACCAAAAGAACATTTCAAAAAAGCAAGGATTAAAAAGCTAAATATACCCCAGCACCAAATACTTAAAAATATATTAAATGCATTTTAGCGTTAGACACTGATCACTTTATTTGTGTTTCATCTTATATGCATTTCTTCTTTTAGTTAAGTTTTTGCTAAACTCAAAACCTTCCTTTCTTCTAATTATTTCTCCTCATTTCTCCGTAATTCCGTTTTTCCTGTTTGTGTGCAGGCAAGTATGAATGATCGTGGGATAAAAGATTAAATGAATGAAGACACTATGTTAGAACTACAAACTTCACTTTTATGTATAAAAAAGCAATTTAATTTCTATAAACACCTCTAAAGTTACGCTTATATCAAAATAATTATAGTCAATTAATTAGTTAAAAAATCCCTTTTCGGCAAGCTTGAAGGCAAAGGTAGATTCCTTTACGCTAATGTTACAAAAGTAATGAAATATTACATATTGATCAATACAGACATAGCCAATGACTTTAATGGTTCTACACATTGCAATATTTACGCTGTGATTCTGTTTTCATGACATTTAATTTTTTACTATATTAAGGTTTTATCATTCTATTTTTCATTCCAAAACGTTATGCTGGATTTATTGGTCAAATTTTTTTATATCCCAACACATAATCATTCAACAGGTAGGAATCATAAAAAAAATAAACATCCCAGCAGCGCAAATATCCCCTAGATAACATTAAGCCAACCTATCTGAAACAGTAACAAGAAATTGACTCTTGGCACGAATGAAGAAAGACTCTAGATTAGTTTATTTAATCAAGGTTACCATATAATTGTTCGAACTTAGTTTATTTAATCTAGGTTACCATATAATTGTTCGAACATTACTTTGTCATATGGTAAAATCACATGACATGAAACATTTAAACATTACAAGAATGGGCTCATTTAGAGAACTCCCTGGTTGCATGGATAATAGTCACTAAATTCTTAACACATAAGAGAATAAAAATTATTAAACATTGTGAGTTCCAAATTTAACACGTGTGTTTAAACCATAGGATATCAATGCAGCCATTTTTAACAGGAAATTTAAATCTCCATCGACAGTTAAAAGCAAATACTCAGGCAGAATACCCCATAACAATTTAACAAGTTAATGAGATATTTTTAAATATAAAAAAGGTTAAAAGGAACTCTTATATATCTATCTTTTTTGGCTATTTTATAATAAATTTATTAAACAAATCCTGGTGCAGCCATGTTTAGTTAAATATGAAATTAAATTAATCTGTCAAATTAACTAATTATCAAATTAACTTCTAAAATTAACTGTTTGATTAATTAAAATTAACTATTTATCTAAATAAATTTAAATATTTAGTTAATTGTGACGATATTTTCACTAAAACCTTATTTATGGCTCATAGTATATGCCAGTATTCTTAATCTTGTAATGATCTAATAATTATCTTAATTTAAATAAAAGTTATTGTGTCTGTATGTATGCTCCACTTCTCCACCTAAACTACTGGACTGATTTCAACCAAACTTTGCACACTTTTTATTTAAGACAAGAGAAAGTTCACCTTACCTTTTCAAAGCCCAAAAGTTAATTATAATTTCAGTTAATTAAAAATTAAGCAAGACGTTTTTCCGCGATATCTTTGGAAAACATTATCGCACGAAACTATTTTTACACCTTATTAAATTTTTTTAAAAATTAGCATTTCAGTGACAAAAATTTCATTTCCATACAATTTGATTCTCTCATTTTAATATTTTTTCAAAATTAATTTTATACAGAATTCGTAGCAATATTCTTTATTGTTGAAGAACAAGAATAATACGAATATATATAGTTGCCAGAATGCATTAACAGAATCCTGGACTAATGCTAAAAGAAAATTTTAAAAGTAGACCATTGAAAATTTATATCAGGACCAAATAATGATTGATTTATTTTCATGCTTTAAATTAATGAGTAATTAATAGTTAATTTAATTGTTTCAAAATATTCATTGAAACCTTTCTTTCTTTTACTTTAGTAATTGTTAACGAAATTTGAAGTACCTATATAACAAATAATAATTTATGGAGAAAACAGCTGTTTTTAAGAATCGTTTGTTTCAATTGATATTTTCATTTTAATTAAAAAGGTTTCAGATCAGAAAAGGAATTTGTGTATAATAATTTTTATACAATAGTAGTTTTTACATTAAAAATATTAGACATGAAAGCATTTTAATCCGGAGCAAAGCCAGGTATATGAGCTTGTTTACCATACAAAAAGTGGAAGTGAATGCGGCTGATGGGAGCACATAGCTTCTAAGCAATTCTTTCTGTCTAAAAACTTTCAATATAAAAGTAGTTTGTTATGATAAGGTGATAATTCCCCTAATTGAAATTTTCTTTCTGTCTTCAATCGTAACGGAGCTATGGAGAAAAGATAAATTGGGGGAATTGAGCATCGCTTTTCAGCTCATAACTTCTAATCAATTGTAGCAGTCAAAAAACTTTTAATATAAAAGTTGCTCGTTATGATTATGTGATAATTCCCCTAATTGAAAGTTTCTTTCTATCTTCAATCGTAACAGAGCAATGCGGAAATGATAAATTGGGGGGATTGAATATAACTTTTCAGCTCATAACTTCTAAGGAATATTAGCTGACAAATACTTTTAATATAAAAGTTGTTCGTTCTGATAAGGTGATAATTCGCCTAATTGAAATTTTTTCCTATCTTTAGTCGTAACAGAGCTATGGGGAAATGATAAAATGGGGGAGAGGATTGAAAGTGGCTTTTTAGCTTATAACTTCTAAAAAATTGTAGCTGTCAAAAATGTTTCAAAACAAAAGTTGTTTATTATAAAGAGGCAATAATTCGCCTATTTTGATTTTTCATTATATCTTCAATCGTAAAGGAATTATGAGAAAATGAAATTTTCAGTTCCCCACCATTTCCACCCTTTTAGCTGGCTAGTCCATCTACAAATTCGGTCGATATTTTCACCGAACTTACAACATATCCCTTGCCGGTTAAAATCTAAGCAAAATTATTCTAGTTATCGTCTTCACAAGATAACATGGGCAAAAGAATTATACGTATAATCTCTACTACTAATAATAAGGAAAAGAACATTTCGCCCTGTATTCTCATAAGGATTAGACATGCAAGAATGAAACCGGGTGGAAGTGACTGCAAATGACGAGAGCTTTCCAACTAGGGGTAACATGCATAGGTTGAAACGTACTTTAAGTTAGGGGGAGAGGAGGGGAAGGGTGGGTAAATCACATTTCAGCTCATAACTTCTAAGCAATTGTAGCTATCGAAAAAGATTAAATGCGAAAATTGTTCGTTAAGATAAGGCAATAATTCGCCTAATTTAAATTTTCTTTCTATTTTCACTTGTAAAGGAATTATGGGAAAAGGAAAATTTCCACCCCCACCATTTCCACCCCCTTTGAGCTGGATAGCCCATCTACGAACTCGACCGACATTTTCACTATCCTTACAACATATCCTAAGCTGGTTAAATTTACAGCAAAATTACTCCAGTTATCGTGTTCAATATATATATATATATATATATATATATGTATGTAATAATCTCACTTAATTTTATTTCAAATTCTAATATTATATATTTTAAAATCTTAATGTATTCCAAAATCACTTTTCTTAAACACCAGTTTCGTTCTAGTTCCCGCTCTGGAGGTATATTAAATTTCTCGTTTTGGCATATTTATTACTAAAAGAATATCTTAATCGTTTCCACGCGCACACAACTCGCGAAATCAGCGACTTATTGTCGCCATGCATTTTCCCTAAAACACTTACGTAATTTACTTAAAATAGCTATTATTCCCTTCACTTTGATCACATGTCTATCTGTTAAATCCCTACCTGAGAAAAAGCAGGGATCTTCTGTTCTTTTGGCTTGAAAACTTAAACGAAAATGTACGTACATTTCGTCACTCTCCCATAATAAAACGGAAATTAGAATATAACTCGGCCTGTTTTATTTTATTTAACGACTACAATTTCGAATACATATATATATATATAAACTTTTTAACGAACGGTGGGTTTGGGTTCTAGGGTTCATGGTCGGTGAAGATCTGTAGACATATTCCGAAAGTCGTGTTATGAGAACCATTGCAATAGGTAGACTTCCTATAAGGAATCTACCTAAAACCGATAACGATCAGAGGTTGAGAGCACAAGAGCTCGAGCACTACGTCAACAAAATACATAGATCAAGCTGCATTTCTCAAAATTTTGTTTTCATATCATTTTATTTGCTTTAAATTATACACGTGGCGCTGTACGACTTAATCCGTCTACTGTGTCATGAAAAAATCAAACAGAGTATACTGGAATAAAAAATGGCACGTTATCTGAATATTCGATACTCGAGCATAAAACGTAAAGTTAGAAATTAGATAAATGCGTAGTTACAGTTGCCGCGATAATATGACCTCTCGTAAGCTGGCTCCATTCTCCCGTGGAACTCTTACAAGAATATGTTGTTGAGTCCAGGGTGGCCGAGTGGTTATGGCATCGGGCTTCAAAGTCCTAGGCTGCATGCCTTCGCATAGTAAATTGTATGGAAAAAGTTTTACAGATAAATGTTATCAAAAAATAAAATAATACTTGAGTAAAGACTGCGTAATTTGCAGCAATGGAAAGCTACCCAGAATGCTTTGGTAAAAGGAGTGTTTCTTCTAAGAGAGTGAAGCATCTGCCTAAGGAACATTGCTACACGATTCACTCAGTGATCGTAGGTTCGAATCCTGCCCCTGGGCGGACATTTTTATTGTCTTTCCAGATGAAATAAGCTCGATTTCATAGGACTTGACTTAGTTTTCAAAATTATTTTCTTTCGTTCCCTATTATTTCACCACTTTTGACGATCAGGTTTCTTTCTATGTTTTTATTTTCGGGTAAATTTCTCTTTTAGTAACGACTACGCTTAAAAAACTCAGAAACTTATTTTCTTACCGAAGAGTGGATACAGATCGAAATTGTTTGATTATTGCTTCCTTGGAAGAAACTACATTACGTGCAACTATGCATTTTTGCCATCGTTCTTTCAAAGATTTAAATGCAGATTGCACACCTCATTTTGCCATCTCCTTCAGCATCTTCGTCGCTGCACTTTTTCGGAATTTGAGAATCGTTTCCCCTTAAGCAAATTATTTTCCTGAGATAAAATTGATATGGGGGAAGATCAGAGGAATAAACCTTTTGTGGAATTACTGGAATGGGTGGTTTTGATAGGCAATTTGAGGGGTCTGTGAACTGACGACTTATAGTGACGGATCACGTATTACTTGGCCTTTCCCGCGAAGGGTAGCTTTAAATGCCTGTAACGGGCATACACTGTACGTTTTTGAACTGGATAAAACCTGTTCTAACTAGTTGGTCACGTTATACTCCTCGCTTGTTCATCTTGAAATGGACTAGTTTATTTACATTTGGAAACCATTTTAAAGTTACGGAATTTTTTGAACGTACCCTATTAGCTGAAGATGCACTACAATATATTTACTATGCTGTGCGTCATTCAGTATATTCTATAAACATCATGGAAAGGGAAAACTCGCGGATTCACTGGGATGAAAAAAACATGTCGTAGTATCCATCTGAGAGTGAAAGGATCGCCCACAAGTCTGTCACGAAAGTCAGATTTTCGTGGTTAGCAGATTCTTGGTGTGATCGTAAATTTCGATTTCTGTTTTCGAATGTTTTTTTTTAAAGAAATATTTTCGTATGTTTTCATCTTCTGTTGACGGAAAGCAAAGTTTCGATCTTGGTCGTTTTTCAGTACCGATGATTTGGATTTTTAAGGTTGAGCAGAATTGATTTTCTTCTTCCTTCCATGCCTATCTCTAAGGGCGTAGGAATTAGTTGCTGGGCCCTCATTAGAATTGACACCCTATATATGTAAATACAGGGCTAAACTTGCTAAGTACATTATATCATGAATGATTCAAATATAATCAATATGCTTTAATTCGAAATTCCTCGTTTTTCTCATGTGATTAAGAATTTATAGAAACTGTCACCTGAATTGATAAAACAATTCATAGAACGAAATGTAAGAAAATAAAATTGAATTCGTTTGGGTCAAAATAAAAGGTTAGCAAGTGCCACCATGAATTTTGATAGAACATTGAATTAGAATTTATAGGTATGTTCATTAAAATTTGCTAGCTTTATTTTGCTCCGTTTATTGTTGATGCACTACTCATATGAAAGATTTGTTTCACATATATTGATTTGATCTTCGTCGAAAGGGTGACCAAGATCGTTGCAAGACATACTAATTTTTAAAAAAATTATTTTAATGGAATTTCCGACTTTTAATTCTCATTGCACTTGCTTTCTCCTTTTATCGT